GCCGGGGGCAGCGGGCACGTCGCGTGAGGGGCGTGCAGCGGGGCGGGCGGCGGGCGCCTCGGCCCGCTGCCACTGGCGTTTGACGTGACGCCGCCGGCGCTTGATGGCTTCGCGCACCACGCCGCCGCACCTCGCACCCCACCACCACCACGCCCGCGCCGCTGGGCAGCCCCAAGCTGCCGCCCACCTTGACTGTTGGGTCCTTGGAGATGACTCCCGTGCCGGAGCAGGGCGCGTCCAGCAGCACGCGGTCCACGCTGCGCTCGCCCAGCACGCGCGGCAGCTGGCGGCCATCGTAGTTGCACACGACTGGTGGGGAGAGGAAGAGGGGGGGGGGGGGGGAGTGCGCGCATGAGCGGGCGGTGGGCGGCAAGGCAGGCAGTGGCGCAGCCATCCGGAGCCGACGGCGGCGCTGATCAGGCACGGGCGTGGACCACGCACACGTCCCCTGCCTCCCCTCCCGCCCGGCCCCGCATCCCCCGCCTCACTCGTGTTTGTGACTCCCATGCGCTGCAGGTTGGCGGTCAGGCTGGTCAGCCGCTCCTTGTTGATCTCGTTGGCAAACAGCACCCCCGTGTTGCGCATCAGGGCGGCCAGGTAGGTGGTCTTGCCGCCTGCGGGCAGGCGACGTGCGCGCGTATGTTTGTGTGTGCATGTGCGTGTGTGTGCGTGTGTGTGCGTGTGTGTGCATGTGTGTGTGCATGGGGCGGGGTAGATGGCTGGGCGGGGGTGGGGACAAGGGCGCAGCATCCCAGGCAACCGGTGCTGCGGAGGCGCGGCATGGGCGGAGGCCGGCCGGACGAAGGATGGCGAGACGGCGAGTGCGCGGGGGCCAGCGAGCGGCAGCGGGTGCGTGGCGCGCCGCACCTGGCGCCGCCGCCACATCCACCACCTGCTCCCCCTCCTGCGGCGCCAGCGCCATGCACGGCAGGAAGGACGAGGCGCCCTGCAGGCAGGCACGGCGCGCGGGGCGGGTGCGGGGGCTCAGTCCCACTGCATAGAGAGTCGGCCCCTGGCGCAAGCCCAGGTGCCGGGAGGGCCTCCGGCACGCTGGGCAGTGTACAGCCCTGAACCTTAAATTGAGATCTCCACGCTGGCGCGTTCCACCAGTCCAGTCCTTGCCCTCCCACTCCCCAACACACACACACACACACACACACCGCACCGCCCCCACCCACCTGCAGCATGTAGTGCCCCGCCATGTACTCCGGGGTGGCGCCCACCGGCACCTGGCTCTCGTACACCACCAGGCCAACCTTGGACCAGTTGCCGATGGGGTCCAGGTTGACGCCCCGGTTGATCAGCGCCCCCGCCAGCTCCCGCCGCCGCGTCTTGAGCGTGTTGGTGCGCAGCGTCACGGGGCGCGGCACCTGCTTGGGAGGGGCGGGGAGGGGAGGCGCGGAGAGCAGCCTTAGTCCGGCCTGCTGCGCACTCCTCCTCGGCCCGCCCTCGCCTCTTCCATGGCCCGCCGCGCCACACACACACACACACACCACCGCACCCACCCCATCCTGCCACATGCCACCCCCCAAACCACCCATTCAGCCACCACACCACCTCACCACCACCCCACCACCCCACCACCCAGCGCCGCACCTCCTGCGCCTCAATCAGCTCCAGCGCCTCCCCCACGCTGAACAGGGAGAGCAGTGCGTCCACCATGAAGGCGTTGTAGCCGTAGTAGGAGGCCAGGTCGCGCTTGAGCTGCGCGTGTGTGTGGGGTAGGGTGTGTGTGTGTGGGGGAGTGGGAGGGGGAGGGAGTGGAGTG